GGGTGGGAGGGACCGGCGGCCAGGAGAAGGGCAAGGTGCTCACGGGCCCCGAGGCCTCTGGGCCTGCCTCGTCCCCATTCCCGCCTTCTTAAGGCCTGGGAGCCCCTGACTGCCCCGAGGTCACCGGGGCTGTGGCTCTGGCGCTCAGGCTTGCCTAGTTCTCGCAGCATTATGGGGCGACTATGCTGACCCCAGTATTTAGAAGTGCCTGTCCCCAGTCGGGCACAGTTCCGAGGAAAAGGACCTCTGCTGGAAAGACAAGTGGTAATGGGTGCCCAGTGTGAGAAACGGGCCCGCCCTGCGCCTTACCGGAAGAGGCCCAGCCCTGGAGCTAGTGGATGAGTTGTCTAGCCACTGCCCTTGGGCCTCTACGACCCACCACACTTTCTCCTCCAACTCCATCGCTGCCTAGTCTCACAAGTACAGGGAAAACGCATTGCAGGGCATTGATTCCTCCTCATTGTGTTTCTGGCTTCAGAGAGGATGGCAGAGGAGCTGGATCTCCCAGGCCAGGACTCGGAGGAGGGAGGTGAGGAGGTGGTCCTGACTCCTGCAGAGCTCATTGAAAGGCTAGAGCAGGTAAGCATGCCCAAAGGATCCCTTTCCTCCAATCTTCACCGTTTTATTTGGTTCCATGGTGCAGATATCAGGGATCAGAACATGAAAAAAATGGAATTCTAGGCCTAAAATTTAAAAAGAACTGAAACTAGATCTTATCACCTATTTAGGAATAGGATGTAGCAGCGACATTCTCTGCTAGAAACGTCCTAATATTGAGGCCAGATGACATAACTGGACTCACACGGAAAGTTCTCAGGGTCGTGTTTAGTCAGTCTCCTTGTGCACGTCCTGTGTGTGTCAGTGTGCCAGTGACCCTGCTGGCTGAGACTGGGAGTGGATGGACCTTGTTTTGAGTGCCTGACTCTCTCCTGGAAGAAATAAAAGGGATCTTGGGAATGCACACACGCCCAGTGTGATTTTCAAGCCATTGAGTCCAGGACTCAAACCGTGGTCGACCACGTGGGAGTCCAGCAATGTAACTGCTGTGCAGTCTGCTGGCCCCTGGGTCCCACTTTTTAAAGCTTGTATGATTATGAGTAATACCTGTGCCTTCCCACACAACACAAGCCCTTACAGGAGGACACACAGCAGTGCAGGAACAAAGGTAAGAGCTGTGGCCTCATCACATCAGCAGGTTAAGAAGAAAGAGTGAGGGGCTGGCAAGTGACATGGTGATTAAAGACACTGGACTCCCACATGGCTGACCATAGTTCGAGTCCCAGAAGCGGGGGCCAGGAGAAGGGGAAGGTGCTCACGGGCCCCGAGGCCTCTGGGCCTGCCTCGTCCCCATTCCCGCCTTCTTAAGGCCTGGGAGCCCCTGACTGCCCCGAGGTCACCGGGGCTGTGGCTCTGGCGCTCAGGCTTGCCTAGTTCTCGCAGCATTATGGGGCGACTATGCTGACCCCAGTATTTAGAAGTGCCTGTCCCCAGTCGGGCACAGTTCCGAGGAAAAGGACCTCTGCTGGAAAGACAAGTGGTAATGGGTGCCCAGTGTGAGAAACGGGCCCGCCCTGCGCCTTACCGGAAGAGGCCCAGCCCTGGAGCTAGTGGATGAGTTGTCTAGCCACTGCCCTTGGGCCTCTACGACCCACCACACTTTCTCCTCCAACTCCATCGCTGCCTAGTCTCACAAGTACAGGGAAAACGCATTGCAGGGCATTGATTCCTCCTCATTGTGTTTCTGGCTTCAGAGAGGATGGCAGAGGAGCTGGATCTCCCAGGCCAGGACTCGGAGGAGGGAGGTGAGGAGGTGGTCCTGACTCCTGCAGAGCTCATTGAAAGGCTAGAGCAGGTAAGCATGCCCAAAGGATCCCTTTCCTCCAATCTTCACCGTTTTATTTGGTTCCATGGTGCAGATATCAGGGATCAGAACATGAAAAAAATGGAATTCTAGGCCTAAAATTTAAAAAGAACTGAAACTAGATCTTATCACCTATTTAGGAATAGGATGTAGCAGCGACATTCTCTGCTAGAAACGTCCTAATATTGAGGCCAGATGACATAACTGGACTCACACGGAAAGTTCTCAGGGTCGTGTTTAGTCAGTCTCCTTGTGCACGTCCTGTGTGTGTCAGTGTGCCAGTGACCCTGCTGGCTGAGACTGGGAGTGGATGGACCTTGTTTTGAGTGCCTGACTCTCTCCTGGAAGAAATAAAAGGGATCTTGGGAATGCACACACGCCCAGTGTGATTTTCAAGCCATTGAGTCCAGGACTCAAACCGTGGTCGACCACGTGGGAGTCCAGCAATGTAACTGCTGTGCAGTCTGCTGGCCCCTGGGTCCCACTTTTTAAAGCTTGTATGATTATGAGTAATACCTGTGCCTTCCCACACAACACAAGCCCTTACAGGAGGACACACAGCAGTGCAGGAACAAAGGTAAGAGCTGTGGCCTCATCACATCAGCAGGTTAAGAAGAAAGAGTGAGGGGCTGGCAAGTGACATGGTGATTAAAGACACTGGACTCCCACATGGCTGACCATAGTTCGAGTCCCAGACCTGATGGCTTGCTTTCTCGCTTTCCCTTTCTCTCTGTCTCTCTCTCTCTCTCTCTGGTCAAATTAAAAAATAATAACAAATGGAATTAAATAAATAATTTTTTAAAAGGAGATATATATATATATACACTGTTCAATATTGATTAAAACTATAATTTATATCTAGATTTATTAAAAAAGAAAAAAAACTCCTAATATCTAATGAAATCTTCAAGCGGGTTCAGTGAGGGACAGCTTTAGACACATTTCATAGGACAGTTCACAGAGCCAGAGTCCTCTTGGTATCCACAGGGGCCCTGGAGATGTGACGGAGCCTTGCACATTCTCTACTTGGAACCTTGAGACATCCACTTTTTCCCTGGAGATTGGCCAGGGTGGCAAAAAAAAGTCCCAAAACACCTTCTTTAAGAGAAAACTGACCAGGACCAGCAGTTAGCGTAATGGCTATGTCGCTGGACTCCCATGTAACTGACCATGGTTCAAGTCCTGGACCCGGTGGCCTAAATTCACGCCGGGTGCGTGTGCATGCGTGCCCAAGATCCCAAGAGGAGAATGGAGGAGAAGGGATTGCGACGTGGCCATCCCCCCTGGGGGGTGATTTCTCGCTTTCTGTCTCTCCATCTGTCTGGCGAGCGCATGCGCCCTATAGAAAAAAAAGAGAGAGAGAGAGAGAGAAAACTGGCCATATTCCTTTTCCTCCCACCTATTTTCTTGACTCAACTCCCCCGTAATTCCACTGTTTATCCGACATATCATTCCTGACCTATTTCTCCTTTCAGTATTAATAGCTACCTAGCTTTGATTTGTTGAGTATTTCCTGTGTGCCAGTAATTGTATGAAATTCTTTAGACTTCTCCAGAAGCCTTTCGAGTGTGGAGTTGAGACTATCTGGATTTTAGTCTGTGCTGCTAGTCTGTTATGCGGCCTTCGGCAAGTTGCATCGTTTGTCTCAAGGCTCTCCTTGACTTTAAAAATGCAAGTACTAATAGTGGCTGTTTCTGAGTCGCTGAGAGGAGTAAATGAGGTGCAATCTGTGGGCCAGCCAGTGGCAAGGTGGTGAAGGTGGCTGGATCTCATACATTTGTGCAGTTCAAGTCCTGGACCAGAGGCTTGCAAAACTGTTGGATGTGTGTGCCCAGAGTCCCGAAAGGAGAGAGAGAGAAGGAATTGCGGCGTGCCCGTCCCCTGTGGAAGGTGTGCTCTCACCTTCCTTCTCTCTCTCTTTGCTTCTCTAGCAAGCATCCATACCCATTAGCAAATTAGAAAAGATAATATTTGTAAAGTCCTTAGCGTGCTGTCTGACACATGCTAAACCCCCAGCTAATGGCCACTCTCCCTGTTATCTCCATTTTAGAGCTGTGGGAACTGAAGCTGGCACCTTGCCCAAGGTCACACGAGGGCAGCAGGCCAGGAAATGAACTAGTTTTCTCAGGCTCCAAAACATGTGCTCTTAATCCACTATGCTTGCTACCTTATTCATGTCCTTGCCCTTTAAGGTTCCTTTCCAGAACTTTCTCATGTTGACTACTTTAGTGTTCATTATTTATTCTTTCCTGCCATACGTGCTATCATGAGTGATAAAACTGAGGGAAGACAGATTTTATTTTTTTAACTTTGTTTTATTTATTATTTTAATTTGACAGGGAGGGACAGAGTGAGAGAGAGTGAGAGGGAAAGTGAGACAGCAAGCTGCCAGGTCTGGGACTCGAACAGCAGCCAGCCATGTGGGAGTCCAGTGCTCCTCATCACCATGCCACCTGCCGGCCCCAAGGGAGGACAGATTTTAAATGTAATTTTTATTATTTCACAGTGATTCATCTTTTTTTTTTTTTTTGGTCTGTTTTTAATTTTGCCAGAGGACATGAGCATTGACTGAGGAAAGACAGAGAGAAAGAAAGAGGGAGGGGCCAGCGAGTGGTGTAGTGGTTAGGGTGCTGGACTCCCTTGTGGCTGACTGCAGTCTGAGTCCTGAACCAGTGGCTTGAAACATGCTGGGGACATGTGCATGCGTGCCCAAAATGCCTAGAGGAGGATGGAGGAGAAGGGATTGCAGCATGGCCATCCCCCCCCAGGGGTGATTTCTCACTTTCTGTCTCTGTCTCTTTGGTGAGCACACACACCCTATAGCAAAAATCTTTCCAAAATAAATAATAAAGAAATAAAGAACTCATGTTTCATCAGAATAAAAGTAAAATGTGTGTGTGTGTGTGTGTGTGTGTGTGTGTGTGTATGTGTATATATATATATATATATATATATAAAGGAAACTGGAGTTCTCAGTTTTACATTAAAAATTAGAAACTTCTGTTTATATTCCTTGATGAGAGTAAAAAGGCAAACTACCAAACTGGGAGAAGATGCTTGCAAAGTACGTAACTGAAGAAAGATTCTTACCCAGGGTATGCAGACGGGCTTTTTAGACCGCCCAATAGAAAAACAGTCTTCATGGGTTTGGCAGGTTGCATGGTGCTCGAGGTGCTGGACTCCCATATGACCGACCACAGTTCAAGTCCTGGATGTGGCAGCCCAAAAATCACAACAAATAAATAAATCAATGTTTTTTAAAAAAGGCAGACTTCACAGGCATGTCCAGAAGAGTACACCAAGGTGACCAGTAAGCATATGAAAAAAGGCGTAACCTTTTTAGAAATCAGGAAATGAAGATGAAAATCAGGAGATATTTCATACCTCTCAGATTGATAGAAATGAAAAGGTGAACAATATAGTGCAGGCCAGTTCTTCAAGCGTTACTCTCTAAGATGTCCCGAGCAGCCAGGCCTGAGTATAATTATGCTAGGGCTTTAGCCCTTGCTCCAAAACTGTTCAATGGATGAGTATCCATTTCTATTTTGACATGATTCTTTATATTCTGGGGCCACTGGTGAGTTAATTTGGGTCTTTTTTTTTCCCCCCATCAGTAGGATAAATATCCATTTTCTCTCAGATATTATAATGATGAATGAAAAACTAAGAGCCCTGAGCTTCAGGAATGACCAGATGGATGGATTGCCATCTTGGGTTGCTCTCTCTTTCAAAATAGAAGAGGTGCTCGCGCCCTCTGGTGGCAAGTAGCTGGTGAAGCAGTCGAAAGGTGTTCATGGTACTTGGTGAAAGGGACTGACTGACCACCAGGTGGGGGTACTAGGCAGCGGCTCTCATGCTGATGGCCGAAGTACATCGCCATTAGTATTTTTTAATGTTGGGTTTTTTTGTTTTTGTTTTAGAATTATTTATTTAATTTTATTTATTTATTCTTTTTCAATTTGACCAGAGAGTGAGAGAGAGGACGCAAGCTGCCAGGTCTGGGACTCGAATCATGGTCAATCGTGTGAGAATCCAGCACCTTAACCACCATGCCACTTGCTGTACCCCCTTGATTATTGTTTTTTAACGTTGGGGTTTTTTGAGGTTGTGAACCCAGCCTCTCCACTGAAAGAACACAGAAAAACCATCTCTAGACACATTTTGTCTTTAAAGTACTTCCAGTATCCCAAGCATGCAGGGGAATCTGTGGTTTTCATGTGAACTGTCCCGGAGCATTTTGCTCCATCACGAGTGGTGCTCACTTTCTTCGGCTTTGCCTTTTAGGCCTGGCTGAATGAGAAGTTTGCTCCCGAGCTGCTAGAAAGCAAGTCCGAGATCGTGGAATGTGTCATGGAGCAGCTGGATCACATGGTAGGGGTTGCGTGTCTCGGGGTTGCAAGGGAAGGGAAAGTTAAAAGCGTTTGGTCAGCGAGACATTGTGGTTGGTGAGAAAATCTCTTTCATTTGGCTCAGTATTATTATTTTCTTTTTTGGCTTACTCAAAGAGCCAAAGAGAGGGAAAGTGAGAAATCACCCCCAAAGGGAATGGACCCACTGCAATCCCTTGTCTTTCATTCTTTTCCTGGGATTTTGGGCACTCATGCACATACACCCGGTGTGATTTTCAAGCTGTCAGGTCCAGGGCTCGAACCACAGACAGCCATGTAGGAGGCCAGCACCTTAACCACCATGCTATCTGTTGGCCCCAGTGTTCTTTTAAAAAAAAATTTTTTTTTTTTTGAGAGGTTTTTGCTGTAGGGCACATGTGCTTGCCAGAAAGCCAGAG